TTAAATAATATTTAAACAATACATGTTAGTTTATTAATTTTTTCACACTATTTATCCATTAACCCCTACAGTCCCCGGTTTACTGTTTGATGGTTACTGTGAAGGAGGCCAAGGGAATTCTGGGGAAAGACGTCAGTGGTGAGTTTCTGCATGACAAATCATTCTGTTTAATATGTATTCTTGATTTAAAACTAAAAAAAACTATTAGGCTACTGTAAAAATCTGATATTTCATGGTCAAACAGTTGGTTTTTTTCATGACTTAAATGCCTTTGCCATGCAAGGCAGATGAAGATCTATGAGCTTGTAGTTGACCATTGTCTTTGACCATTGTCTTTGACCATTGCCTTTGACCATTGCCTCTGAAGCAAAGCCACTGGAATATTCATAAATTTTAAGACATGCAATGATAAGATATTTAGAAATTAACTTTGTAGCTATTGATACTTCCTAATGATAGACAAAAATGGGGAAAGCTGCCACTTGAGAAAAGGTTTCCGTCAAAAAGCTAGAAACTAATTTTAGCTGATTCAGCATGTAGACGTGCTTTGTGACCGAGCACTGAGACAACAAGTTTTGGCAGGTTTAGCATTAGCATCAGTGCTAATATTTGCTAAGTAGCATTAGCAAGATTTTTTTTACTTTGGGCTTTTTTCACCATAAAGTGCTTCTTGTGTGGAAACCTACTGAAGATGCAAAACAACATCCAAATAATAAGTCAGGGTGGCATGGTGGCTCAGTTAGTAGAGCTGTTGCCTCTCAGCAAGAAGGTCGCTGGTTCAAATCTTTGCGGGGAGTTTGCATGTTCTCTCCATGCATGCACGGGTTTTCTCAGCGTACTCTGGTTTCCTCTCACAGACTTAAAACATGCATGTTAGACTGATTGGTAACTCTAAAATTGTCCTGTGAGTGAGAAAGTGAATGATTGTTTGTCTCATTTTTCTCTGTGTCCCAGTGATGACCTGTCCAGGGTGTGTCCCCCGCCTCTTGTACAGTGACCACTGGACATGGGCACCAGTGACCCAAAGAGGAAAAAACACATAAAAATAATGGATGAATAATCAGTCCTTCTAACTTCTTCCAGCTCTTCCCTGATGGAATATTATAAACCTAAATTACACTGGAAACTCTTAAGAAGAGTGGGAATCATAAATGCACTTTTTATTTACAGTTTGGATCAGTCCATTGTAGAAATGTTTAAAAGGTAAGACTGAATGCTGCTGACCAAAGAAAAAGGAGTTTTAGCAAAAGACGTTGGGCTTCATACGGAAAAACAAGTTACCAACGTGTAGTAACTTATTATTAGCTCACCAAGATCCTCACCCAAACTGAACCCTTTTCCTACCATCAAGGAAGCTTCAAAAATGTTTTTGTTGTAAATGTCTTGTTATCACCCGCTGCTGAAAGACAAAGGTGGACGATGTGCATCAGTCTATTACCTATTATTATCTCATGAACCACTGGACACATTTTAATAATCCTTGCAGGAAAAAAAAAAGTGGATGTACAACAACAGCTGATTAACTATTGATGTCCACCTCATTAAAGATGGCCGCTACAGCTAAGCAAATCTAGCAAACCCAAACGTGGCTACAAGTGAGTCGATTTAACAGAGATTGAACTAAACTTTGTTAAATAAAGTTTATAAAAAGTAAACTTCAAGTACACTTCCTCTTCTTTAGTGTAAAATAAGTATACTTGTAGTACACTCAAATAAACTACTTTTGCTAACGGAAGCCAAAACAAAAAACAAAAACATGACCTCCCTCTGTTCTTCTCCACTGTGTAACTTCTACCCACTTGAATATCTTGCACCAATTTGCATTCCCAGTTCAAAAACACTCATCTCCAAAACTACAAACTTTTACTTTAGAACCGTCAGTGATGCGGGACATGGGTGTACCGCTTGTTCAAGCTGGATCTTCAGCTGACTGCCACATGTTTTCGACAGGTTTCAGCGACCCATACTGCCTGCTGATGGTGCTGGAGAACGAGGAAAAGAAAAAGACAAGCAGCCCACAAGCCAAGCCGTGTAAATATGTTGCAAAGGACGTCGTGTCGCATGAGAAAATCTGCCAAACGGAGATCAAAAAGCAAACGCTGAACCCCGTCTGGAACCAAACCTTCGTCCTGTGAGTTCAACTGTAGTTTCCACTGAATCAAACCGAGATGACTCATCTTCTGCTTCTTCTTCTGTAGGGACTTTAAAGACACCAGCGCCAGCTTCCACCTTGAGATGTGGTGAGTAAGCACAGATTGTTTCATTTATTTCCACCCCCCATCACAAAACAATGTATTTACCCATGTCTCCATGTGTGGGTGTGCAGTTTCTGTCTGTTAGCCAAACATTCTCATGAGCCACCGGAGAGATTTTAATGAAACTCTCAGAAAATGTTGAATGTACATCTACGACTGATTAACCTTTGGAGTCAGTCAGATTCAAGATGGCCACCACAGCTAATCAGTATTAGCAAACACAAAAATTGCTATAACTTGGTCATGTTTACAGAGCTAAAATCTTGCGTGAAAGAAGCTGATAGTCATCCCCAACACTATAAACACTACTGTCTGTTAGCAAAATATCTCATAAATCACTAAAAAAAATTGAATAAAACTTTTAAAGAACTAATCACTGGATGTGCATCTACAACTGATAATATTTTGGAGGAAACCCAACTCAAGATGGCTGCCACAACTAATCAGCCTTGGCTAACACAAACATAGATATAATTCAGTCATTACAACTGAGGAGCTAAACTTTTGTGTGAAAGTAGCTGAGAGTCATCCCTAAGACACAGTCTGAGTGTTGACATGTTGTGGGACGTCTCACACGTGATTTTCCATGTTTGAATAAATAAATAAACCTTTCAGTGTAAACCTCCGGTGTGTCTGTAGATGACGCAACATACATTCCTTTAGTCATCTCTTTTTCCCCTGTCCTGCTGCAGGGACAAGGATGAAGAAGTGTCACTCACTCAGAAACTGGAGGAAATCAAAAGCAACTTTAACAGTTTAAGAAGGTAAGAAGGTGTCCGTATTTACCGTACGAAAACCAAACGAGCAGTCGGGTGAAGCCACTTTTTAAAATCTGTTCAGGATGATCAAGGAGGCTAAAAAGGAGAAAGGCACAGATGACTTTTTGGGAAACATTGTCTTAAAACTACAGGTAATAAAGGTTTCTATGAACAAACTTAATGTTTTATAAGCTGTTTGGTCCAGAACCTCATAGTGTCACGGTGCGGCAGGATCTCCACTGCACTGAGGACAACTGGTACAACCTGGAGCCCCGAACAGAGACGTACCCTGATCGTGGTCAGTGCCACCTCAACCTAAAGTTCATCCACAAAGCAGTAAGAGAAACTCCTCCAACTTTGCTGTCAAATTAAAGGCATGTGCAGCCAAAATGTTACTGCTGAATTATGTAGACTTGAAATATGTGGGAGAAAGAAAGTTCCCCTTGCTTTAAACCCAATGTTTACATCAGAACACACACAGAAAAAAGACCAGGTTCTAAAAGTATTACAATTTAACCTCGGCTGTCAGAGTCAGAGTCAGAGTTTCTTTATTGTCATTCGCACCTCATGTGGTACATGTGGTGGAGCGAAATTATGTACACAGGGTCCCAGAAAAAAGAAAGAAACTGTAGAAACGACAGATTCCACCGAGTTATTATTTGCCAAACAAAAACTGAGGCAAAATGGGAAACTGAGTGAAAAACTGATCATCAGTGTGATCACCTCAATGAGAGTCGTATTGCTTTGTTGCTCTGGAGAATACAGGTTTGCGTTAACACAATGCCAAGATGGAAAGACATCAGCAATGACCCTACAGAAGCGACCAATATTGTCCATCAGTCTCTGGGTTAAAGGTCACATCTAAACCGTTTGGACTCCATTGTTCTACAGAAAGAAGGGTTCTTCTTCTTCTTGTTTTAGTTCTTGTTCTTGTTCTTTCGGCTTTTCCTTCTTCAGGGGTTGCCACAGCGAGTCATCCTCCTCCATCTCACTCTGTCCTCTGCATCCTCTGTCCTCACTCCAACTACCTCCATGTCCTCTCTAACTGCATCCATACATCTCCCCTTTGTCTTTTTCCTGGCAGCTGCATTTCTAGCATCCTTCTACCAATATACCCACTGTCCCTCCTCTGGACATGTCCAAACCACTGTCCCTCCTCTGGACATGTCCAAACCACTGTCCCTCCTCTGGACATGTCCAAACTATCTCAGTCTGATCTCTCCAACTTTATCTCCCAGTAGTTCAACCTGTGCTGTACCTCTGATGATCTCATTCCTAATCTTCTCCATTTTTGTCACTCCTAAGGAGAACATCAACATCTTCATTTCTGCCACTTCCAGTTCTATCTCCTGAGAGAAAGGTTATTCAGATGTGGGAAACATTTAAGGCAGTGACCTGTTTCCCACATACAGGCCTCAGTCAGCAGGTTAAAGATTAAACTTCATGACAGGACCGTTAGAAAAAGACTGAACAAGTATGGCTCATCTTGTTGCAGGAGAAGCCCCATTTCTCCTAACAGAACATGGCTGTATGACTTAGGTTTGTATAGTTTTATCTGAAAGGTGCCGACTGGAACAATGTTCTTTGGACAAATGAGAGTGTAGCGGAGATATGAACCCACAGAAAAAATTCACTACATCAGCACAAATATCTCACACAAACTGTCACGCTCAGCAGTGGAGGGGCGAAGATCTGGACTTGTCTTGAAGCCATGTGACCCGTTCATCTGATCCCAAACACATCAGCTGACTTAAAGGAAAAGAGTCAATGTGTAAAGGTCCAGACCTCAAACTGATTAAAATACTGAAGTGGGACCTTCAGAGAGCTGAGCAGAAACCTCAAAGAACTGAAGCCACGTTGTAAAGAAGACTGGACCAAAATTCCTCCACAACCAAGCTGATAAAGTCATGCAGAAACAACTACAGAGAGTTATTGCAGTCAGAAATGGTTTTCAAACCTAATAATGGGTTGGACTCTGTTTTTCACCCAACCCTTTTATTTTGGCATAATTTTTACTTAATAAATGATGCCACGGTGGAATTTGTTGTACATTTCCTAATGTTTAGAACCTGGTAAAGACCACACCATTTGATCATGTCCTGATAATGGTAGAACTGAAGCAAAGTGGACTTTCTTTTCTCCGTTCGTATACGTTTAAGGACAAAAGACGCACTTGTTGAATGTGTCAGTAGATGTGCTGGCCTGCAGCGGTCTGAGTGTGTCGTGTGTTTGGCAGAGGGACGGCACGCTGAGCGCCGGCCGCAGTGCTTACATTAACTACTGTGGGATTCTGCAGCAGTTTGTCCAAGCTTACATCTTCAAGCAACAGGTGGAAATCACACTTCTCACAATCCTGTTTACACAGTTCATTTTTTACCTCTCTTCTTCTCCCTCGTCACTCAGAGCTCTACGCCGTGGACGGGGGCGTTGTGCGGTGAGGCTCAAACTCTGCTCGAACTGTACGCCACACAGAACAATCTCTCTCCGTTTCTGCAAGACCTGGCGTAAGCGTTTTCATTTAGCAGACTTTTGGACTAAAAACCAAACGTGAACGTTCTTTTTTTTAATAATATGTAAGAATATTTGGCAAGTTGAACATTTTAGTTGCGTTTAGAATTGGGTTGCCTATATGGACTGTGTGCAGTGTTGCCAGGTCAAAGTCCAAAATGGCCACCGCCATATGTATATATGTAAACGTGAGCACCATAACTTGAAAAAACAAGTGAGGTACTGACTTCCATTTTGGAGAGTGGCTCCATCAATGCGTAAGAAAGGTTCCTTTTAAAAACTGGGCTGCCACGTCAAAATCTAGTCCATGAAAACACTCGTTTAGAAAACTACAAACATTCAGCATTCAAATCCCTCAGCGACAGGGTACATTGGTGTACCGCTTGTTCTTTCTTGTCCTTCACGACAGTAGCTGAAACAAAAGACTGACTATCAAACTCTAAGTAACCCAACGGTCGTAGAACCGTATCAGTTCTTACTGAAGATAAAAAAATCATGAAAAAGTTGAAAATGTTCAACAAGACGTTGCTGAAGGCTTCAAATCCGTTTTTATTAACAGCTGGCCACAGAGGAGATCAAGAAGTAAAAAGCAGATGTTCCTCCGCCTGGTGCTACACAGTCACAACAAAAAGAAAGTTCATCCTCTTTGAAATCCAGTATTGCTGCAACGCTTTGATTCATTTTGTTTTCAGCTGTTCTCTTGTTGACTAGGTGCTGTGTTCTGGATCATTGTTCTGTTGAATCCAGTTTGTTCCAGTCTTCTTCTGGTAGAGAGATAGTCTCACATTTGACTCTAGAACCTCGTGGTCAAAGAGAAGCTCTTGGTCAACTCACAGGTCATGTGGCTCCAGATAAAAACCCAAATCATCACCTTCCACCCCTGTGCATGACACTGAATATAAGGTGTTTATGCTGATATGCTGTGTTTGGCTTTTACCAAATATGGCACTGTGCATTATGGGTAATCTCTAATTTGGTCCTATTTGGCAAAATAACCTTCTTCTAGAAGTATTGTGGTTCATTTGATGCAACACCTTCAACCTGCAAACTGAGGCCTATACAGTCTAAGATGGAGCATCAAAACCTAATAAAAATAGATTTTTGGAATAATATCCTGATATGTAAACCCACAGAAATAAACAAAGGTGGACTTTCTGTTTCTCCATCATGTATCAACAATATATATCGTATGATATGTATCGGACAATATGCATTGGATGATATGTATTGGACGATATGCATCAGATGATAAGCATCAGACGATATGCATCAAATTCATTCAACCTTTATTTCTACAGGTAAATCCCATTGAGCCTCGAGGACTCATTTACAAGAGAGACCTGATTTCAACAAAGAATGATGACAACAATGGACAGTTATAAAAGAGGCATATATATATATATATATATATATATATATATATATATATATATATATTTTACAAATTAAAGTAAGATGGCAAAAAAAAAAGTAGCAAAAACAGCTAGATTCTAAGGCAAATGTAGAAAACTAAAAACAGGAACATGTCTGCAATGGTCCCTGCCAGGAGTCCAACAGATTCTTAAAGCCACTTAGAGAGGTCAAGGTCGAGAGCTTCAGATCTTTTTGTAAGATATTCCAGGAAACAGGAGCGGAGTAGGAGAAGGTCCTTTTGCCAAGTTCAGTCCACGCTGAGGGAACACTGCAGGTAATAATGTCCTGAGAGCGCACGCTGTAGCTGCACTCACACAGAGACATGTAGGAGATGCATGAAGGCAGCAGACCAATAAGTGATTTAAAGATGAAAATGTACCAGTGAGAGAGTCTGCGTGAAATTAATGATGACCAGTTAACCAGTGAATACAGGATGCAGTGGTGGGCATGATAATCACAGCCAGTTATGAATCTTAGTGCACCGTGATAGACAGCATCCAACATCTGCAGGGTTCTTGTAGGAGCATTCATGTAAATAATGTCACCGTAATCAATTGAGGGAAGGAAAGTCACAGATACAAGACGTTTCCTAGCATTCAGGGTTTGATTCAGGGTTTGTTCATATCTTAGATGTTATTACTGTTTTTCTTAGACATTTTATTGTTGGATGTAACTGGGACCCTGTGTACATAATTTCGCTCCACCACATGTACCACATGAGGTTCGAATGACAATAAAGAAACTCTGACAGGATCTGTTTCTGAAAAAGAAACCCTGTTTAACTTTCAGTTTCTTTACCAAGTTTTCCACATGGAGCTTAAAAGAGAGATGTGAGTCGACCAAGATACCCAAATATTTATAGGAATCAACAAACTCAATTGGGACACCATTTGAGGATAAAATCGGAGGAAAAACTGTTGGGACCGACTTCCTGTTTGAAAAAAAGCATCCCTTTGATTTTATTGGCATTTAAGACAAGTTTGAGGTGGAACAAATCTGACTGGATGATGTTAAACGCAGATTGCAAAAGCTGGAAAGCCTTAGAAACTGTTTTAGCTCGACAATAAACTGTGTCATCTAAATTATATCACCATTCTAGATGCTATGTATTGGACAATATGCATCAGATTATAAGCCTCGGACGATATGTATCGTATGCTATGTACTGGATGATATGTAATGGATGATATGTACTGGATGATATGTAATGGAT